AGGCTATGGTTTGGTGATCCAGTAAAACAGCTTTAGGGATCTCAGTAGCTCAGAAATGCCATGCCTGTGTGAGACAAAGCAGAGTTCTGATACAGACCTGCTATGCTGTTTCAAATGTATTAAAGTCTGACAGGTTAACTCAGTACTCACAGACTTATTGCCAGCAGTAGTAATATTTTTATCAGGTAAAAATCTAGCTGGTCATAAAACCCAGAAAGCAATTTCTCTTACAACAGAAGCGAGAGCTCAGGAAAGAAAAAATTCCTTTTCTTTTTTAGATGGTTACTTCAAACTAATACTTACAACAAAATAATTTCAACAAATCTTACCCATGCCCTACTTGCAGTAGCAACGACTGCACTCTTTGAACGTGCCTCACATAATGAAGCAGTTTGCAGCTCAGATAAGTGAACACAATGTTCTCCCTCAAAAACACCTAATTCCCATACTCTCTGGGCTGTATAAAGCTTACCTGCCACAACCTGTGGCCTGACAGGATCAGGATGCCTGGCAGAAGAGTCTGAAATAGATCAGGGAAGTTGATGACATCTGATACAAAAAGGACTCTGAGCTTTCTGGTGACAGATCATGTATTGTGTCGCAGTAGAAAGATTGAGCAACAAGCTGTTGTTTAGCATAAATCCCAGGACAAAAGAACCGGGTGCATTTGTGTGGTCACAGCGAAAGAGAATACTAAAAGTTACAACCTCTGACATTACTGTGTGCCATGTTACAGATGCTTCATATCCACCTTTGCTTAGCACCTATGAACTTGGAGAACTTCAAGCACAGGTTCATGGAAAGGCAAAATGTGACAGAAATGAAAAGGAGTAAAGTAAAATAGAGAGAGAAATATGTCTCTATTTCTACAGTCAGCAAAAGACATATTTTAAGATGTTAACGAAGTACTCTGAAGAAGCTTAGACAGAAGAAAGCTCAGGACAGGCCAGGGTATGTCAGAAAAGAGAATCACACTTTAAAGAACTAGATACCATCTGCAAGATGTTACTATAAGGGACTCCTCTGTGGCAAGACCAGGTCACCTTGCCAACTCCTGTCAAGAACACATGTGACTTTTCTGCCATGCACAGGCTTATCTTTACTATTTAGCATCTTCATTAGTGACCTGGACAAGGGGGAAGAGTGCATCCTCAGCAAGTCCACAGAGGTAACAAAATAGGGAGGAGCAGCTGACACACCAGATGGCTTTGCTGCCATTTGGAGGAACCTGGAGAGGATGGAGATTGGGCTGATAGGAACCTTTTGAAGTTTATCAGAAGGAAATGCCAAGTCCTGAGCCTCAGGAGGAATATCCCCTGGCACCAGCACACACTGGGGGCTGACTGGCTGGAAAACAGCTCTGAAGAGAAGGGCTTTGGGGCCCTGGTGGATGACAAGCTGACGATGAGCCAGCAATACACACTTGTGACAAAGGTGGCCAACAGCCTTCTGGGCTGCATTAGGGAGAACAATGCCAGCAGAGAGGTGATACTTCCTCTCTACTAAGCACTGGTGAGACCACATAGAATCATAGAATCATAGAATAGTTAGGGTTGGAAAGGACCTTAAGATCATCTAGTTCCAACCCCCCTGCCATGAGCGGGGACACCACACACTAAACTATGTCGCCCAAGGCTCTGTCCAGCCTGGCCTTAAACGCCTCCAGGGTTGGAGCATTCACAACTTCCTTGGGCAACCCATTCCAGTGCCTCAACTCCCTCACTGTGAAGAACTTCTTCCTTATATCTAACCTAAACTTCCCCTGTTTAAGTTTAAACCCATTACCCCTTGTCCTACCACTAGAGTCCCTAATGAAGAGTCCCTCCCCAGCATCCGTGTAGGCCCCCTTCAGATACTGGAAGGCTGCTATGAGGTCTCCACGCAGCTTCTCTTCTCCAAGCTGAACAGCCCCAACTTTCTCAGCCTGTCTTCATACGGGAGGTGCTCCAGTCCTCTTATCATCCTCGTGGCCCTCCTCTGGACTTGCTCCAGCAGCTCCATGTCCTTTTTATGTTGAGGACACCAGAACTGTACACAATACTCCAAGTGAGATCTCAAAATCTGGAGTACTGTGTCCAACTCTGGGCTCCCCCATGTATGAAAGACACAGACAAGTCCAGAATAGGTCCACAAAGATGACTGAAGGACTGAAGTATCTTTTATAAGAGGAAAGATTGATAGAGCTGGGACTGCTCAGCCCATAGAAGA